GAGAGAGAAGCCGCAGGCCTCAATCAAAGCCTTCCCCCTTCCAAAACCCCCGCCACGGGCAGGCCCGGGACGGGCGCCAGCTCAGCCCCGAGGACTCGGCGGCGCCCGGGGCGCGGCCCGCCGGCTCACCTTGAAGTAGATCTCGTCCACCACTTCGTGGTAAGTCTTGAGCTCATAGAGCTGCACCTTGAAGTAGGGCGACGAGAGAATGTTGGTGAGGATCATGGGGTTCAGGTTCATGGTCTTCTCGTTCCCCCACAGCGGCAGCACGTTGCCCTGCTTGCCGGAGGCCGCCGGCTTGGGGGCTCCGCTCTGCAGCTGCTGCTGGGCGGGCGGGACGGCGCCAGGCTGGTGCTGGGCCGCCTGCTGCCCCTGGCAGTTCCCGGCGCCGACAGCGGGGCTGTTGTTGGCCATGGCGGCGGAGGGCCCGGAGCGGGGCGGCGGCGCGCGGCCTGCGAGGCGGAGGGGCGGCCGCGCCACACCAGAGCGCGGGCTGCCGGGGCCGGGCGCTGCCTCCGCCAACTGCTGACAAGATGGCGGACCGCGCGGAAGTGACGCCTTCGTCTTCCGGGGCCTGGGCTCGACCAATCCCGGCGGGGGAGCGCGGCGGCGCGAGGCGGGGAAGGGGGGGAAGAGGCCGGGACGCCCCCTCCCCTCGGGGCTCGGCCCCTTCCCGCCGCACGGTTCCTCCTTCCTCAACACCCCATCTGCCCTCCTCCTCCTCACCCGGCTGCCTCACACAGCCCGGGCAAGGCGGGACCCGCCCCGCTGCCAGCGCGCCCGTCTCCCTCCTGAGCCGCCGTGAGCCCGAGGCCGGGCCGCAGGCCCTTCAGGCGCCGGTAATCCGGCCAGGGAAAGCCGCTGTCACCGTAACGGGAGATGCTAGCTAGGCCACCGGCTTGGCGAACTAGGAAACTGGCCCCCATCGGTCACCCTCGTCGTTGGTGACGGGACCGGGGCACCGCAGAGCAGGGGAGCGAGCAGCGGCCGCCTCCCTCTGCCTCCGTGCTGAGGGAGAAGCCCAGAAATAACGGCAAGAGTCGTTCCGTGCGCAGGAGTCTCCGGTGAAGCAGCGCGTACCGACGGCTGCACGGCCAGGGCGCACCGGAGCCTCACTCGGAAGCAGTGCTGGCGATGAGGCCTGCCCCGCCGGCTGGGGCCTGGCGGCGGCTGAGCACCTCCTGAGGGGCTCGTCACACACTGAGAAAACTTAACTATTCCCCCGTGCTGAATCCAGCCAAACGCCTCTTCCCGAGATCAATAACACTACGTACAGACGCGGAACGATCAGAATTGGGTTAATGCATTTGTAAACAAATAGCTGGATTTAAGAAAGTGCCTGTCTATGCTTAAATGCTAACAGGAAACAGAGAAACATTAAAACCGTCCCGTTTTGCCTGAAATGTATCTGCTGGAAGAATTGAACTTTAATTTTGTGGTTACGTTTAACTCATTCAAAGGTTTCCAACGGGTTTTGAATAACAGGCTTTTTTGCAAAAGCAAAAAAAAACCTAGCTACATACTTTGGGGTCAAACTTTAACCTTTTAACAAAAGGGAGACTGAACACACAACTTTGAGGAATTGCCAAGAGATTCTAAACATCAAATCACTGTGTAAAAAAAATAACTGTCCACTAGTTACAAACTTGGCACACTGGGGACAAAACGCATACAGCTGTACATACAGAGAAAGGCTCCATGTTGCTCAGCGTGTCAGGAAACAGGTGCAGGGAGAAGCTGGTATGGAAGCATCCATGGAAATACCATCTCTGTAAGTGTGCTATTTAAAACTAATTTAGATTTTGACTTTAAAAATGAGGAGATAAATATTGTTGGAAGTAACACCAGAGTACCTTCATTCTTCATTACACATTGAAAACCTGAGAAACGGTAATTCAGCTTCATTACTCTGGCTCTTTAACGTACCATAGAGCTCATACTATAGCAGAAAAGCATTCTTATCGGGGCCCTGACAGTTAACAGTTTCTCCAAACTGCCTGTTCTGCTATCTAGGCTCCTCACTCCCCTTTTCCAGGAATAACTCCAGCCTCCTTTCAGCCTCCTCTTCCCATCTCAGTTCATTTCCAAAGATAATCACAAAACCTTCATTACATATCACAGGACTCTACTGTCTTGGTGCAGTAAATATCCATTTAAGAATCACAAAATTATTTCTAAGAAAGAAATAACTCCTAAGAACGAAGAACTCCCTTATAGCAGTGAAATAATCTTGTTCTGGAGACAGCGAGAGTAGTAACTTTTTTTGAAGCTTAGTAGGGATTTTTTTTGTTGTTGTTTAGGGTACCCTTGACTCTTTCAGCACTTCCTTAATTTTTATTGTATAATCACAATAGCTTGTATTTCTGTCACCATTTACATTAACCAAGTTGTATTTTCATGCATTTGTCTTTTCCTCTTGAAATATTTAGTTAGTATGTTCCAAACCTCAGTGTTCTTCCCTCTGCACAAGACAGCATTTTTGTACTTATGCAGTCCCTCTTTGGTGGCAATGTGAAACCTTTGATATAGTTGCAACCTATAAATCCATTTGTTCCAAATGAGATTTTATTCCCTCAGGCATCCCAGCTGGTCTTTATACAGAATAGAGCCAAACAACAACAACAACAACAAAAAAACACAAACAAAAAAAATCAACCAAGAGGTGATTTTCACTTCCACACTTCAAGGAACTATATATAATTATGAAAATGTAGGGTGATCTGTACGTAAGAGCCTGGCCTCACTTCTCATTCACACAGACTAATTCTGAATTTTCTCAAACAGGCCTAATCTGTTAGTTGAAGCTGAGGAGAAAGATACTAGTACATAGTCACCAAACACCTTCCAAATCTGGTTGAGAGGAACAGTTGTTAGTTGTTGAATTATAAATCAAGCAGTACTGCTGCATGAATTTTCCTGTCAAATATCAGAGTGGACTAGTGTCTTATTTCAGCAGTGTTGCATTAGACTTCTTTTGCTATCACATTTAATTATATGCACTGCAACTTTAAAGGGAAAGTACAGGAAATACATAGTTGTCTTTCTTACCCCTTCCAACATAAATTATTCTATGATTCCTTGAAAATGTTAAGTAGATGTACCACTGCCTAAGAAAAAAAACCAAACACCCAAGCTTCAGACAGACTAAATCAATGGTTTTATTTTTTTTTTCAGTGAGAGAATACTAGAAAAAAAAAAAAAAAAAGATGTAATGGGGAATAATCAGAAGAATTTTTCAAACCTTTTTTCTAGCAAGAAAAAGGTTAGACACCCTGGAGTCAAAGCAGATTGTCCAGCTTAAAACCGCCACCTTTCATGCTGCCAGTCTTCAAAAGATTGGATCCCCAATCCAATTTCACCACCTAATATGGAACAATCAAAAAAGATACTACTGTTATTACATTGTTTGATAATGGAGAAGTAAAATCTGATCATTCTGAAGGTTTCACTTGTGGTCGTACATTTTGGGGTGGAGTCTTACAAACTACTAGGAAATTGTATGAATTCACAATGTGTTGTGTGAATTTACTTTTACTGTAGACTATAACTTTATTACTGTTAGACCCACGCTGGAGCAGTCTGTTCCTGAAGGACTGCACCCCGTGGAAGGAGTCATGTTAGAGAAGTTCATGGAGGATTGTCTCCTGTGGGAGGGACCCTACACTGGAGCAGGAGAAGCATGAGAAGTCCTCCCCCTGTGAAGGAATGTGATGAACTGACCACAACCCCTGTTCCCTGTCCCCCTGCACCATTCAGAGGGAGAAGGTAGAGAAATTAGGAGTGAAGTTAAACCCAGAAAGAAGAGAAGAGTGGGGGAAAGGTGTTTTAAGATTTGGGGGTTATTTCTCATTACCTTAATCTGATTGGAAATAAATTTTCCCAGTGATGGTAACTGCTGAGGGATCTCCCTGTTCTTATCTCGATCCATGAGCCTTTCATTGTATTTTCTGTCCTCCTGTCCATCTAAGGAGAGGAGTGATAGAGCAACTTTGGTAGGCACCTGCGTCCAGCCAGGGTCAACCCACCACACCAAGACTCAAGTTTAAGCCATCACAGGTGCAGCAAATCCTGTTGCCAGAGGTCCGTGTTCACAAAGGAGACAGAAAAGTCCTGGAATGACTTTATTTGAATTAAGGGAGAGTCCATTGGGACACACCCCTGTGGGGTCTCTCCAATTGCCAGGGGATGCAGCCTGTTTTACCCTAATTCTCCGGCCACATGTAACCCTCTTTTCCCCATTGGCTGAGGTACTTGGAAGGTACAGACTTCCCAATCTGCCTACTACATATTTTCCTCTAACATGTACCCCCCCATAACACCATCATACATATCATACATTGCATGTATCATCAACTCTACCTTTATGCCACCCAGAGACAGAGAGGATAATATTCATAAGCTTTTTAAGCATGTGCACCAACTCAAGAGGTGAGCAGTTCAACCTTTGCTGTTCTTCCGTTGTATAACTTTTGCAGCTGAACTCCCCTATTTTTCAGTTATCTAACTTCTGCAATTTCAGTCAACTCCCCTATTTGTAAAGACACTCCTATCCCTATCTTATCAATCCCTCCTCTTTTTAATACTTGTCTTTACAAAGTTTAGTCACCATTAATTGGACCTTCTTAAGTTATTTTTTGGTTTTGGAACTATTTGCAGAGACATCACCTTTTGTCCCCTTGTAGCTAATTCTGGGTCACTAGGCACAGCTGCTACTTGCATTCTTTTGCCTGCATGCTGAAGGAGCTGCATAAAACAAGGTACCACACATGGTACAAAATTCAGAACTGTTACTGCACAAATGAAGAAAACAACATGTGCTTAATCCATGTTCCACCAGGCAACCATGAGAACATGTCTAATTCCTATCCTTTCCAGGTTTGAACCAGTATAGGAGCCAGTTTTCTTACTCCTTTTGTTACCTGTTTTACTACCTTCCTGTTATCATCAATTTGTAAACAACAAAAAGCATCTATTAAGTCAAGAACTGAATAATAGCGCTGTGAGTAAGGAATTTGGTTCGGGATAGTATAAGGATCTGGAACCGTGGGATGCCTTGGTTTAATAATCTTATTTATTATTCTTATGTCTTGTACAATTCTATAGGTTCTGTCAGGTTTCTTAACTGGCAGGATGGGATTATTATAGGGAGACATACATGGGCTCCAAAAAGACCTGCCTTTATTAAGGAGTCAATAATGGGCATTTTCCCCGTTGGGGGCTGTAAAACCTGTGCCATCACTCTTGCCTCCCTCTTTGCCTTTTCCTCATCCTTTCTTACATACACCTGCTGCGCCTTTCCAACTAATTCATCCAAAGGCTTGTTCTGTCATGGCTCATCTTTCTGTATTCTTCTCCTTATGTCAGACCAGGATTTGGTAAGAAATTGTACCCTCAAGAGTGTGTCAAAGGCCAGTCCCTCGGGATCCAACCCTCCCTGGCTTTTTAAATCATTTCTGGTCCTTTCCAACCCATGAGGACTCTCATCTCTCTCCTGTTCTAGGGACATAGCCTTTGACATATTGTTAGTTCTGGGAACTGCTGTCTTAATTGCTCTAATCATTATTATTGCTGTAATCGCTATTATTGCTCATTATAGGCTCTATAATCCCAAAGGTGGACTAGGCTAGCCTGATTATTCAGATCCCAACTAGGGTCCGCTTGGGGGATTATGTCATCAATCATAGGCACTTTCTGCCCTGCCTTCCCTGCTGCCTCTTGGGTGTTCATCTTCCCATAACTGATGGGTTTTCTGCAAAATCATCCTTTTTTCCTGTGGCCCAAATAAAATTCCCAGAAGAAAATCCCAGTCCTTCCAGGTATAATCTGCACTCCCAAGATATTCATGTACCTTTTCCCCCACCCCTATGGGGTCATCCAAATATGGGGGTAATTCCTTTTTCAACCCTCTTTTGTCCTGAGTTGTAAGGGGCACAATTACAAACCCAAATCCTCCACCTTGTCCGCCCAAAGGGACCTGGTGTAGAGGCACCTAATGAACTCTTGCTTCCTGGGTTTTAGGCACCCTTGGTGCTTCATGTTTTGTCCCCCTTCTAGTTCTAGATGGTGACATAACCTCTTGCCCATTCTCCCCTTCACTGTTATCCTCATCAAGAAGGGCTGTAGGGTCAGTTTCTCCTTGGTTTTCTTGATCTGGAATTTTGGGGGTATAAAGGCCCAGCAGCCGCTCCTGGATCCGCTGGGAAAGCTGGAGGGTCCTGAGGCTAAGGCAGGGGAAGACACTGAAGAACATCCCACATCTTCTTATCTGTGCCCTTTCTCTCACCATTTTCCAATTCTCCGTTATTTCTCCTCCCTCTGACTACATAAATTCCTGTTGGTGGCGCCCTTAACCATATTTCCCCACATACTTTTTCAATAAGCCCTTTCTCAGTGTCGTTCACATACAAGCATAAAAACTGACAAAGACTAGCATCATCTGACCCAAGAGGAGGCCATCTAAAACCTTTTAGCAAACTATATTCAGGGCAGATAAAATAGCATTGTATCCTTAGTTATTTCTGGGTGAATGTGTAGATCTCCCCAAGATCTTAACATTCTCCCAAAGGAACTTTGCGGGGGTATTTCAGGATCGTCACCTAAGTTTTCAAGACCCTTTCTCAACTTTCCCTTACTGCCCTCCCTGGACACCCTCCCTCTTTTAGTCCCCAAATTTCCCATAGTACTCACTGGGGAGATTTTCAGTGGTGTCTCACTGCAGACCTCTTCACGGACCCTTGCAGTCTGTTGCTCATCTGTCTCCTGAACAGTCTCAGGTATCCAATCAGTCATCCAGCACCAGCAGCTCTGGAAGCTAACTGATCACCAAAGCTTTGGTGAGGTGCACCGTCAGCTCCATTTGTCACCTGCCATCCCTGGAAGGTGGAAGGATCCCAGATGAGCCCCCAGGAGTGCAGAAAATCCTGTTGCCAGAGGTCAGTGTTCACAAAGGAGACAGAAAAGTCCTGGAATGACTTTATTTGAATAAAGGGAGAGTCCACTGGGACATACCTCTGTGGGGGTCTCTCCAATTGCAGGAAGATGCAGCCTCAGTTTTACCCTAATTCCCCAGTTGCATGTAACCCTCTTCCTTTCCCCATTGACTGTGGTATTTAGAAGCTACAGACTTCCCAGTCCACCTACTACATATTTTCCTCTACCATGTAACCCCCCCATCATACATCATATGCATGATGATAACTCTCCCTTTATGCCACCTAGAGGCAGAGAGGTTAATATTCATAAGCTTATTAAGCATGCACACTGACTAAAAAGATGAAAAGTGCAACCTTTGCAGTTTTTCATCTTAACTTTTGCAGCTTCAGTTAACTCCCCTATTTTTCAGTTATCTAACTTCTGCAATTTCAGTCAACTCCCCTATTTGTAAAGACGCTCCTATACCTATCTTATCACAGGCAAATAACAACATATAAATGCCTAGTATTTTCTGAAAGCTAACCCAGGAAGCATTAAATTGTGTTCTGATATAGTTAACTCCTCTCCTTTACCCTCAGTGCTACCAGAAACCTCCTTCCTCCTTTTATCCCCAGACACACGCCCCAGCCACCCTTTTTATGCAGCAGCCGCGCCCTGCCATTACCGAAACGCTTTACATACTTGTGAGCGGAGAAAGGGACAGGAAACGGGGAGCCACGTTTTCCTTTCGCTGGGTACCCAAACACCTGCCTGCTCTTTGAGAGACAAACCTTGTCCCGGTTTGGAAGATACTCACTGCAATCCTGCAGAAGACACCGATTTGCTTTTATTTTTGTATAGCCTGTTCCTCGCTCACCCTGGCTGAGCTCTGTCACCGCCTGTCACCACCACTGCAACAGCTCCGAGCTGTGCCCACGCAGAACCGGAAAGAAGTAGCAGGCAGACTAGTAGAATTTTTGTGTTTTAGTGTAGAAATTAGGGACACCTCTCCCGATCGCCTTTTAATTACACAGAGGGAGGCAGCCACAGGCAGCGGAGGGAGGGCGCGGGACCAGGCCACCCGCTCGAGCCCCCGCCTCGGCCGGAGCGCGCGCCCTTCCCGCCGTTTGCGGCGTGGCTGCGGGCCGGGGGAGGCGGTTGGTCAGCCTGAGGGGGAGAGGACGGAGCGGGGACCCCGGGGAAAAGGGCAGGGGGGTGGCCGGGGCGGGCGGCCAGCGAGAGCGAGGAAATGGCTGTCGAAATAACGCCGTACCCCCCTCGCGGGCCCTGCGGAGAGGGCCGGGGCCGGGCAGGCGCTGCGGGACTGAGGCGGCCCCGGCCGGGGAGGAGAGTGCTGAGGCCGCCCTGGGGTGCCTGCTGCGGGGCTGGGGAGGGCTGGGGTGCGAACTGCGGGCCGGGAGCGTGTGGGGAGAAGGCGGTGGGTCCACGGGGGCCGGCTCCTCAGCCGGTTAGTGGCGAGGTTGCCTTTGAGGAGGCAGGTGACTGGCCTGAACGCCGAGCCTGTTTACTGGTTTTGTACGTTATATGTATATTTAAATATTTATATATTTATACTTATGTATAAAAGACCTTATGTAGCCAGTAAAGTGGCCGGCAGTCTCAGCCTGGAGCCCGTGCCTGTTAGACCTGCCCATGAGCCCTGGGCTGTGGCTGCTGCCAACAAGGATGGCTGTAGAAAGCTGTGTGGGCACAGGACCACCTTCCTTTGCTTACGTGACTCCAGTGGAGTTCATTCATCATTCATTGGGAGCTTATTTTTAGGTTTGGTGAGGATATTTCTTGTTAAATATGTATGTGTGCTAAAATGTAGTTTTTAATAAGAGGTGGGAGAGTTGGAAATGCACTAATGGTTTTGACTCTCATGCCATGTTGAATTATGTTAGATTACTTAAGAAACGCAGGCACGAATAAGGTTGAGCTCATAGTAAATGTAAGGCCTTGCAGAACCTCTCCTCTTGCACAACAGAATAATTATTCAGGTATTTCCTGCTAGTTGTTATATTGTAGAAATTGTATTGAGCTATACATATACAAAGATAGATATAAAATCATCTAAATCATAATGATAGATTAGAGACAAGAAAGCAGGCACCTCAGCAAGAAGTTATTTTTCTGCACTTGCAGAGAAGCAAAGGAAAAGTAAATATGTTGTGTCAACACTATGTAGGTGTGCTGGATGGAGAGTGACAAATTATGAAACTTGCTTTTTTATGATAGTATACAGTTTATAATTGTTTATAAAAAGGTTATTTACATCAGTATATGTGGAGGGAGCAGCTAGTGCCTAATTTTGCTAATTCCTGTGTTTTTATCATTCTCTGAATAGAACTGGGATCAGGTCTACTCCTGCTCAATTGTGAATTGAACACCACCGGAAACAGCAAACTCTGTAATTAGATGTTGCAAAGTACTTCAGAAAATAAGAGTTAACTTTTTTACTTTAGCATTAGCAAAATATCATGGATGAGAACTTTGAAGAAGAACAGTTTACAGGAATTATTAAATTTACACCTCCTTTATACAAACAACGCTACCAGTTCATTAAAGATTTAGTGGCGAAATACAAACCTAAAAAGGTTGGTATGTTTTGCCTTTTACATTATAAATTTGAAAAAAAGTTAACATTAGGAATCTCAGGAAGACAGAAAATGCCTGGATAACCTGATGACCTAATTACCAAATTACAGTAGTGGAGGAGATATTGTTAAAACTGAATTACTTTAGCAGACATTTGATAATCATGGTTTGTTTTTCAGGGATGCATATAATCAATGTTAACTGATGGGAAGCGGGAAAAATCTAAACAAGAAAAATGCTTAGCCTGTTTTGGAGAGTAGGTGGCATTCTGGTTTTAATGTAATGCTGAGGAATTTTCGTTTGAACTGCTTTCATCATAGTTTGGTTTTGCTTTCTAGAATTATTTGTTCCATATATGGTATTGGGTTTACCTCATCATTCACATGAATGTTCTCAGAGGAGAAGTGACATTAAGTGTGTGAGATTTGCGAGGCTAACTCTCCTCCACTTTCCTAAGGTCTTTGCCCCCTCCTATTTCCTCCTCCCCTCAACCCCCCCAGTATACCAGGGTTATTGTTTTGATACTCATCTTGAAAAGTTAAATTATTTAAGTAATGCTGTATAGTGTTTGCTGTTTTCTAATATGCCCTCCTTCCCAGCACCTTCTTCAAAAATGTAAAAAGTTGAGAAATACCTCTGTCTTGTTTAATGCTGAAACTGATGTTAATGTCATAGGGACTGTGCAAGAAATCAATGAGAAATGCACCTGCAGTGTGCTCATATAATCATACTTCTGGTAGTTAATAAAAATCTAATGCAGTCTATGAGGTTATGGCACTGTAATCTGCTTTTAAGTAGAATATATTCAGGAGTATTGCATCTGTATTTAAAGGTTTGAATTTTCTGATTTAGGATGTGAAATGGGGTGGGTGGGTATAAACTTTCTGTTTACCCCCAGGGTAGAGGTAAGCTGAAGAGAAGCAATTTGTGATTTTGACACGGAGTACTGAGCAGCGTGCTTCAACCTTGGCTTAGCCTGAGAAAGAACAGTGGCGTTTAGTCTGTGTACTCAACTACCTTTCAAGCTCACAGGAAAGAACATCTATTATATATCTATCACAAGACTTTGTGATCTGAATATCCCCAGCCTTCCCCACATAAACATTACACTGAGCCTGTAAACACGTTTTATGCAGATCTTTTCCTGCTAACCTTGCTGCTGGTGAGCCTATTCTCAGTGTTTTGGATGGAGAGTAGGCCATTGAAAAGCAGTAGTGAAGGTGAAAATTGCTACAGTTTTAATATTTGGAAATCATACCTTACAGGTTAATCCATTTAAAACATCTTGTAGGGTCTTGGTATACATTTTGAAAAAGAATTTTCAAATCCACGTTTATCCTGCTTGTAACTGTAGATTTCAGTTATGATCCTGAAATGCTTTATTATTAAAATGTTATTTTGACCTAAATATGGAATTTTTATGTTATGAAAGTCTCTGAAATTCCTTGGAAATATGCAGCACTTACACATAGTTTAATATCTAATTCACAGGTGGCAGATTTAGGATGTGCTGACTGTACTCTTCTCTGGATGCTGAAATTCTGCAGTTGCATTGAAGTGTTAGCTGGGCTAGATATCTGTGCAAGTATAATGAAAGAGAAAATGTAAGCTCTTGCGTTAATTTAAGGCTTGTATTTGGCTTGACCTAGTGGCATATTACATCATTTCTTGTCAAGAATTTTAAAATGAAGGTAAATGCAGAAATACCAGCTAGGCAAATGAGGAGCTATCCATTGTTATTATTAAGTTATATTGCACCTGTGTCTGGGGACTACCGGACTGTAGATGCCCTTAACATCAGCTAATGTAGCAAAGGTCCAAGTCATGAAATGGTTCTGAAGGTGTGTACATCTGAGAATGCTGTTTGTAAAGGTATTAACACATTGTATTAGTAATATCTGTTTATGCTCATACATGACATTACTGTGGTGTGCAAATCTGATCTTTTTGAAATGTGATTGTAATTCCCTTTTAGTTACTGTGGTGGGGACTTCTTGTTGATCTTTTCAAAATGAGAAGGTTAGCTCAATGTTTTGTGTCTGGCTTAGAAGGTTCTAAAAGGTGAAGTTTTTGTCATCTTCGAAGTGTGGGTCAGACTGCTGAGGAACACCAAAGTTTCTCTCTTGGAAGCCAATTAATGTGGTTTCTATGAATATGTAGGATTTAGATGCAGACATTATCACTCGTTCTTTCTTAAGAATGAAAAAAAAAGTAGCCTTTTATTATATTTAATGTTTATTGTGTGTTTTGTCTGATGCAGTATTTCAGAATGAAATTTGCATGTATATTTTAGTTCTCAGTGTATTTTATTTGGGAAAAAAAGGTTAATGTGCTTTTCAAATAACTTCCCCAAAACCCCTGTAACACATATCTAAGCCAGATTTGCTGTGTGCTGCTTACTGTGAGTTGAGCTGCTATCAGAATTTACAAGCAGCTTTGCAAGTGGCTTGACAGTGGAGCGGAAATTTTTGTAAACATGACAACTGCTGGATTAGCTCCTCTGCTTTTTCTGTCCTATTGTAGATATTCATAAAAAGTGTTTGTATTATAAATTTATTTTTTTTTTTAAATCCTTGTGAAATAATTAACCTTTTTGAGATTTTCGAGGTATCTATTTAGGGTATTAGCTAGCTCAGTTACATGCAAAATTTATCTTTGCCTAAGTTCCTTTCTGTGACATCATGTTTTTAATGCTTTTTTAGGCATAGGTTGTCTCCTCTTCCTGGTGATTATTTGCAACCAACTGAAAGGTCCCTAACTGTTACCTTGCATCATGGTTCAGTTGCCCATAAAGATCCTTGCATGCTTGGTTTTGACTTGGTAACATGTATTGAACTGTAAGTATTAGGCCATTTTTATAAGTTCATTAGGGTTCAGTTTGGAATTTTGTCCATACTCTTGAGCAAATCTTTCAAGCAGAATCTGGCATCTTCTAACTTGTGCTTAAATTAACCATATGAAGAAATTCTTAGCTCTAGGTAATGCTAGTTTATGGTGGAAAAAGGGTATTGATGAAAAAGTGCAAAATGCAAGAGGAAATTATCTCAGACAAAAACCTCTAAGCTGCCACTCAGTCACAGTGCCAGCGCTGATATGGCAAAGCTAGGCTTAAAATTACAAGGTATAGATACAGGTTTGGGGTTTTTTTGGACTTGTTAAGAAGATTAGAAGCACCCTACTGTTTTTCAAAGACATACACAAATTTATCCTTTACAGAATAGAGCACCTGGAACAATCAGAACTAAAGAAGTTTCCTGAAGTGGTGTTTGGTTTCATGTCTCCAAGCATGGTTGTGATCAGTACCCCAAATTCTGAATTTAACCCTTTGCTTCCAGGAGTGACATTATTCAGGCATTCAGACCACAAATTTGAATGGACCAGAGCACAATTTCAAAGCTGGTAAGTTTACTGAATATTGTATGCAGACAGCTTTGAGTGTTCAGTAGCGTGAGAAA